CTTCCCTGAAACGCCGACGGCTCCTCTCGGAGACCACCCTCCACTCCCAGCACACACAGCACTCTGGGGCCTGGGCCGTCCGACGTCACAAAACCTCCTGCGGGTCACCTCGCCTGGGGGACCTCGTGCCCCCTGCCTGGCAGCGACCCCAGGGACACGGGGGCGGGATCCGAAGGCCCCTGCGGGCCTCCCCCAGGCCAGCCTCCCCGTGTGCCCAGCGGCAGGGAATGTACAGATTTCTCCAGGGGCTGCAGGAGCAGCTGGGCTTTGAGGGACAGGTGTCCCGTGGCGTTGTGGGAACGAGGACGGCAGCGCTGGGGACGGATCCTAACATGTCCTGACACCTGCTTTTCGTCTTGTGCGTCTGAAATGGGTAATTCTTGTATCGGACGCTTTATCCGTTTCCTTTGTCCTCTGCCTTTGAACTTAACCCCGAATGGGCAGCTTGACAGGTTTCGAGTTCTCGGTGCGCTGGGATCCGGACACGCGCTGGCTTATGGGGCAGCCGTGAGTGGGTCGGAATATCCCAGCCGGACATGGGCGCTGGATTTAAACAGTTGTCACCGGCCCGCCTGTGCCTCTTAGGGACTCTGTGTGGCTAAGTGGGGTGTTGGTTGTCAGGAAAATAAACGGGAGAACAGGGGGGGTGTCCTGGGTGTGTTGCTGAGGCGGGGGGGCTCTCAGGCCCTCTAACTCCTGTTTGTCCTCTCATTTTGGAAAGGAGGAAGCTGCGCTGGGAAGCCCAAGGGCTCACGGCCACAGCTTATGGCTTAGGAAGACCAGAGGGCATAGCCAGGGGGCCTTCAGAACCGCTGAGGAAGAGGGGACTTAGCTGCCTTCAGTGACCTCTTTGCCACTTAGACTTTGAGGAAGGGCCCACGAGGAAAGCCTGAGTTTGGAGGGACAGAGTGGGAGGAGGCACTCTTTTTTTCTCCTTTCCCTCCCTCCCTCCCTTCTCTCTGTCTCATTTTCTCTCTGCCTCTTTCTGTCTCTGTTCCTGTCTCTCTGCATTTCTCCTCCTCTGTCTCTTGGTGTCTGTCTCCCTGTCCCCTTCCTGTCTTGGTTTCTCTGTCTCCCTCCCTCCTCTCTCTCTGCCTTCCCTCTTGTCTTGGTTCCCCCTGGAGAGCTGTCCTGGGCTAATCTTAGAGCTGGGTGTGTTTTGCGGGGAAGAAGGGTGGGGCAGGAACCCTGACTGGCGCAGCCGCCACCGTCGGTGGAAATACAACTCGACAATGGAAAATTGATGAGGTCCAGCCGTTCCTTGGCACTCAGCACCAGCGTTTGTCATTCTTTGGGGCACCCACATGGGTCCCTTGGGGCTGGAGGCCAGGGCAGAGAGCAGGATGCGGGCAGGAGGGCGGCAGAGGTGAGGGGTTCTGCTGTCACAGGGGGCCACTCAGTTTGATGTCAAGTCAGCTTAGGGTGCCCAGCGTGTAACCTCATCCTTAAAAATAGAGTGTCGCTGCCTCTGGGGACCAAGCTGGCTGGGCGGGGAAGTCAGCTTTTTTTTTTTTTTCCCCCCAGTCAGTGCTCTTTTAATGAGGATGATGCTCCTTTCTCAAGGATAACTTCCTATGGTCTCCAAGGGTGTGGCAGGAGAGCTAGGTATCCCACACTCATTGGACAACAGGGGACCAGGACCCAGGGGTGTGTGTGTGTGTGTGTGTTTGCATGCGTGTCTGGAACACTCTCTCATGACAACTTCACAGCTTTGGTGACATCTGCTGCCTTTTATCTGAGCCCTTTTCTTTATTGTTGGTTAAAGAGCAATCTCAGTGTGATTCACCTAAAATAATAAATTTTTAAAAAGCCTTTTAGATCCTTCACGATTGTGTCTCTGAGCCACAATCTACAGCAGCTTTGGACTGTTTTCCAAGGCGTGATGAAGAGTGAGGGGCGAGCTGGAGTCTCAGTCTGGAGTTGACACCCAGTCTGGGTGGGTGTGGCGTCTCTTCATCCTGAGCTGTCCCTGCAGGAACCTGAGTGTGCTTTTCATTGCTCTTTCCCTCATTCCTAATTCCCTCAGGCCCCAAACAAGCAACCCCAGGAGTACTGAACTTTTTGGGGGGTGGGCGGAGGGGATCTGTATGCAGATTGCCAGTTGAGCAATCCTATTTTCTATGACTTAAAGCCAATCAGAGGCTGGGCGTGGTGGCTCATGCCTGTAGTCCCAGCACTTTGGGAGGCCGAGGCAGGCGGATCACTTGCTCTGAGGAGTTCCAGACCAGCCTGGCCAACATGGCGAAACCCTGTCTCTACTGAGAAAATACAGAAATTAGCCGGGCGTCGTGGCAGGCGCCTGTAATCCCAGCTTCTCAGGAGGCTGAGGCAAAGGAATTGCTTGCACCCAGGAGGAGGCAGAGGTTGCAGTGAGCCGAGATCACACCCCTGCACTCCAGCCTGGGTGACGGAGGGAAAAAAAAGAAAGTGTCAGCGTTCTAGATTGACCAGTTTCCTCCAGTTCAGGTAGTTAGGAAAAAGAGTGCAGTTTGCAGTTGTGAAAAATCTGATAATGGATTTTTTTTTTTTTTTCGTGCATGAAGGGATTCTGGAATACATCTGGTCTAAAGGCCGATTTAATAGTTTTAGGAACTTTGGTTCAGAACAGTCCTACTACTCCTTAGAGAAAAAATGGTTTTCAATCTGGTTCTTCAAATTTCTTGTTCATATAACCAAGCCATGCTTGTTCCTATGAGGAAGAGCAATTGTGCTTTAAAAAAATAAATTTCAGGGCCAGGTACAGTGGTGCGTGCCTGTAGTCCTAGCTATTTGGGAGGTCTCTGTGGGAGGATGACTTGAGGCCAGGAGTTCCAGACCAGCCTGGGCAATATAGTGAGACCCTCATCTTTTAAAAAAAATAGTAATAACAGTTAGCCGGGCATGGTGGCACACATCTATAGTCTTAGTTACCTGAGAAGCTGAAGCAAGAGGATCACTTGAGCCCAGGAGGTCAAGGCTGCAGTCTACCACAATCGCGCCGCTGTACTCCAGCCTGGGTGATACAGTGAGATCCTCTCTCTAAAAAATAAAATAAAATAAATGATATTATGGAAATGAAAAACTTACCCTATGTGGAGAGAAGAGGATGAATCTGTGCACCCATCCACCAGCCTTATTTTATCAATCTTCCTACTTAAAATGACCACTTGAGAATTCCTTCCTCCATATATCAGTTAAAAAATACTTAAGTTTTTCCCCAGAAGTGTCCTTATCGAATCATTTGGCATCTATGACCCAGTGCTTGCTTCTCCTGGGTACCCCGAGTGTGAACCTGTCAGGAAGGAGGTAATTCAGCAGGTAAAACAGTGGCCAGGCTTTGGGTCCACATTTCATTTTCCCTTTCTCAACCTACTTCTGCATTTACTCATCTAAAAAAAGGGAAATAATGACAGAACCTGTCCTACACGGTTACTATGAGGAAGACTCCAAAATTTCTAGACCCCTATTAAAAATATATATATTTTGAAATACAGATTCACTGGAGATTTCAAAAACAGTACCTGGAGTCTCACGGACCCTTCAGCCAGCTTCCCCATGGTGACGTCTCCATATCCGTGGGACAATATCAGAACCATGTCATCGATGTCGGTATATCCCTATTAAAGAGAACACATACCTCGTTCAGCTTTTTTTTTTTTTTTTTTTTTTTTTTTTGGAGACAGGGTCTCACTCTGTTGCCCAGTCTGGAGTGCAGTGGTGCGATCTCGGCTCACTCCAGCCTTGAGCTGGGCTCAAGCGAGCCTCCTGCCTTGGCCTTCCAAAGTGCTGGGATTGTGTACAGGCAGGAGCCATCGTGCCCGGCTTGTTCAGCCTTTATTAGTTTTCAAAAGGTGTTCATTTGTGTTTGCGAGTATGTGTGTAGAGTTCTGTGCAGTTTTGCCCACTGTGTGGATTTGGGCAGCTACTGCCCTCCAAACCATGGTGCAGGATGAATTCCCTCACCACAGACCCCTCTGTCTTGCTCGACACTGTGGTTTTTTTTTTTTTGTTTTTTTTTTGAGACAGAGTTTCGCTCTTGTTGCCCAGGCTGGAGTGTATTGACCACAACCTCCGCTTCCCGGGTTCAAGCGATTCTTCTGCCTCAGCCTCCTGAGTAGCTGGGATTACAGGCATGTGTCACCATGCGTGGCTAATTTTGTAGTTTTAGTAGAGATGGGGTTTCTCTATGTTGGTCAGGCTGGTCTCGAACTCCTGACCTGAGGTGATCCACCTGCCTTGGCCTCCCAAAGAGGTAGGATTACAGGCATGAGCCACCGTGCCCGGCCAGACACTTTTTTTTTTTTTTAAACTTGCACACACTATACATCTGAAAATGTTTTATTTTCTTAAGAGCTAGGAGATGTTCATAATTAATGATACATGGTTCTCAGATCTAAAGTGCTTATACTGGTAGGTTTTCTCCTGTCCTTGGTTCTTCTGAATTGGCCAGAATTTCCTTTCCTCTCCTTGTTGCTGGTTCTTATTAATGCCCCAAGTTAGTCTATTTAGGCTGTTGTAGCAAAACACCACTGACTGGGTGACTTATAAACCACAGACATTTATTCCCAGTTCGGGAGGCTGGAGGTCCAAGATCAAGGCGTGGCAGATTGGGTGTCTGGTGGGGACCTGCTTCCTGGTTCATAGATGGTGCCTTCTTGCTGTGTCCTCACATGGCGGAAGGGGTGAGGGAGCTCTCTGGGGTCCCTTTATAAGGGCACTGATCCCATCCATGAGGCTCCATCCTCATGACCTAGTCACCTCCCTAGGGCCTCACCCCCTGACACCATTACCTTGCAGGTGAGGATTTCAACACAGGAATTTTAGGGGCACACAGACATTGAGTCCACGGCATCGCCACCCTGTCTCTCACAGCAGCATGCTGCCGGCACGAATGGCATCTGAACCGGTGAGATTTTACTGTGTGCATAAATCAGCAGCCCTGTGCGCAGTGTTGACATAGCAATTAGGAGTGTTGTTTGTGGCCTAACAATACACAGAAAGTGGAGCTCAGCCCTTTAATCTTGTTTATCTTGTGTGGTTGCCCCGTGTGAAACCGGCTCATGCATGTGTGAATGACAGTTTCCATTTAAGTGCATCACACAAATGCCAAGAGATGAGATAAAATATTACACATCAGAGAACATTTCCAAGGATAGAAGTCCTGCCGGTTTCTCCTCTTCATTGTTTGTTTCATTTTATTTTTTAAATTTAATTTAGTTTTAAGTTAAAATGCATGTTACATTAAATTTAAGTTAAATTAAGATACATGTGCAGGACTTATTTTAAGAAAAGAGACGGGGTCTCACTGTGTTGCCCAGGCTCGTCTTGAACTCCTGGGCTCAAGCATTCCGCCTGCCTCGGCTGCTGGAACATAGATGCCAAGAGTGCCGGGAC